TAAATGAGACGGACATTAAAAAATTTGTTGCAGGTATATTTTAATATACTGTATGGTTTATAATTTTCTAAATATCATAATGATAATTTAATTGTTTATTTAAATGGACAGACACCCTGGCACATACTAAACAATTGAAAGCAGGTGTGGTATTCGTACAGTACATTCACCGTATAGGGATCAGCAAGGTGGATCGAAAATATTACCGGACATTAGTTAGCCAGGAGATATTGGAATAAATTATGTTGTAATTTAATAGATGTTATAAAAATATGGCCTTTTTTTGCCTTAGCCATTTTAAAATAAATTACAAAATTTGTAATACTGTTTACTAAATTCATTATAAAATTACAGTTTATTGCAGTGAATGACTTGTTGGTGAAACAGTGGCTTTCGTACACTATAGGGAGAGTTCACTATAAGGCGTACATTAACCAAATTTATGTTTTATTATAATTATAAAACATAAATTATAGTTGTTAAAATTTGTTTGTTTAAATTATAGTTTTTAATTCTTGAATAAATATAATCATAATAAAGACTGTAAATTTTTAACAAATTTTGTAATATATAATATTCATTTTCTTATTATTTGTATAAATGGCCAATAAGTCAACGCATTATTGACTTTTTAAAAAGTTAAAAAAAATTCATCAAATTAATCTAAAATCTCCTTTCTAACTAAATTGTTATAGATAGATCATTAAATAGTTATATTAATTGTTTGAAATTAATATTTTGAGTTAAGTTATTTACAAATCCATGTGCCATATGGACAGACACCCTGGTGTTTACCAAACGTTTGAAAGCCGGCGGAGTATTTGTGTCGCACATCGAAAGGACAGGTATAGGGAAAGTGGACCGAAAATATTACCGCAATTTAGTTAGCAAGGAGATGTTTGATTAATTGTACTAGAATATTTTCTTAAAAATATTTTTACTCGTTACAAAAATTATTTCATTTTTGCTCATTCCCATTTATAATAAATTATAAAATGTTACTAACATTTTACAGTTATAATAATAAACGTACAGTTTCTTATTGTATTTATTATTGATTCAGAACACAAATTTACACACAATTTGTAAATATGGTAAGAATTTTTTAAATTACCGGGATAAGTATATAAATATAGGCTAACTACATTTTCATATTCACTTGATCGCAGCTAACAATATATAATTGTATTAATTTCTGATAATGACTTCATTAAGTTTATTAGTAATTAATACAGACTTTCTCTCATAGTAGTTGTCCACTGAAAATGAGGCAAGGTAAACATTTTGTAAGCACTTTTAAGGATTATGCGATTTAGTATAACATAATTAATTATACAAAATTAACTATACGTTAAAATTTAGTTTACTTATTGTGTTTAATGATGCTTGCTTAATTAATTATTATTCAACAGTGTTAAACATTTATAAATTACGCAACATAGTTTTATAATTTACAACATATTTTCAATCACTTTCCCATTGGAAAGCATTGTGTTTTCAACACTGCATTACTTCACATGTATTTATACCATAGACTCTTTGGCATAAAGTTTCTCATAGAGTGGAAACTATTTTGACGGATTGGTCCAGGTCCACTTTATTACCACAATACTCAGTCATTTCTTAAAATATCATGGATTTGGTTATACGGTTGGATAACTTGTTTATCACTGATTACAATGATATCTCATTATAAGTATATATTACTATAGTTTGATCACAACTCTCAAAAATCAAATGTAAAAAACAAAGCAAACAATCCTGTACAGTATAATATGAATTATAATCATGAATTATTTTTGTTTTATATAAAATGTAAAAATAATATTTATAACAAAATTATTGTTTAGTGTAAGACAAATAATAATTAACGTAATGCCTAAGGTTATAAAATATGATAAAGGTGGTTCCGACTTTTAAATTACTTTCCATATTCTCCCTTCTTTATCATTACTATTAATGTTTTAGAAATTTAATAAAAATTTAAACCTTGAGAAAAATTTTATGATAAACAATTTTATATAAATAAAATCTATGTACAGTATTAATGGTATGTAGATTAACAAATTTGATAAATAAATTTAATATAAATAAAAGTCGTCGTATCATTTTATGTAAATAAAAAACACTTTTCACAAAAAATTAAAAGTTTATTTTTTTCAACAAATATTTCTTATTTCTAAATAATGTCGTCCGACCCGAGAGTATTGCGTTCAAACATACCAGTGGTTGATATACCGGAGCTCACTGTCGGTGAATACGTGCGGAACAAATTGAGTCACCTGGATCCTGAGCTAATATGCTTGGTAATATTATTTAAAAATAGCATATTTTATTTTAGATATTAGACTTAAAAATGTAATGTATTTTAAGTTTTTTAAAAACTTTTTTTACAAATAAAGCATTATTTAGGCAGGGCGTGTTAATTTAATTTATATTATTGTTATATCTAAACACTAAATAGGTTATTTTATTAATAAACATACGGTATCTAATTAAAATGACAAACTAATATAATTTATTTGTAAACAACCTTATTTATAACTTATAATAAACTGATTATTTTTAGATAGATGCTAATACTGACGAACAAATAACTATCGGTCACCTAAAACGGCTGTCCCATAGCATAGCTGTGGCCCTAATTAACAGAGGGGTCACCAAAACCGATCGACTCGTATATTCGGGACAAAACACTATACAACACACTGTACTGCGATTTGTAGCTATATTCCTGGGTCTACCCATATGTCCGTTAAGTCCCACATTCGAGGCATACGAAGTGGAACAGGAGGTCACCTCCATGTCGGCCACAGTAGTCCTAACCCAACAGCAAGACCTCCCAAAATTCAAACGTGTCTTAGAGTCAGACAATAATAGTATAAAATTTGTGGTTATATTCAACGCAACATGTGATACACACGTGTCTGAAAAGCACGTGACATACGAACAGCTCGTGGATGAGGGCAGGGATCAGACTTTGATAACTATACCGTACTTTCCAGTCGACCATAATGTGGACCCATGCTTATTGATACATACATCTGGGAGCACCGGCAGACCAAAATGTGTCATATTGAAGCATGCATCAATTTTGCGATTCTACAGTGAGCTTGGTCACGCATTTCATAAAGAATTTCAAGGCACCCCTCAAGTGGTATCGGTGCTCAACCCATTGGGTCACATAGGTGGGTCTCAATTAGTACCTAGCTTCATATGTCTGGGCGCTAAACAAGTAATATATAGCGAGTTCACGGTTGACCTACAGTTCGGGTCGGTGGAGAGGTATGGGGTGACCTTTATGGTCATATTCCCCTCGATTGGGGACAATTTTATCGAGGGTGAATTGTGTAATAAATATGACCTGTCAAGTTTGAAAATAATACTGACAGGTGGCGCACATTTCCCTGCACATATAGCACGGGCTATTATTAACAAGTACCATGTTAGTTTTCGTGAAAGTGAGTATTTTTTTATCTATCATTTAATTATTAAATTTTAATTTATATGTTTTGTAAGTGGTGTGAAAGTGAGTTAAATGGAAGCAAATTATATGAAATATTTTCTAAAATTATTTATTGAATGACCCCTTATTATGTGATTATATAAGAACAGTATTTAAAATGTTAAGTATACCATTTATTATTAGGGTGTCCACTTGTTTTTTAAAATTTAACTTTGTGTATTTATTCTAATTTAATTAATTTACTAAATAATAATAATAATACATTAATTCTTAAAAATTATATGCTTTTAAAAGTACACTAAGAGTATGTCGGAAGATTGACCGACCATCAACAAAATTTAATATCAATACCAGCATAAACTAAGCTTTCAATATAATATTGAAATGTCCTGAAATTATTTATCTAACTTTAACCACTAATGACCTA